CGATTAGCCTCATTACAGGACATCGAATCTAACCCATAACACTTTATTTTTTCACAAAAAAGACCTCGATTATCATGACTAATTCACTGCGACTTAGAAATACGAGCTTGCCAATCACGTCAAGCAAGGTCATCATCCGGGAACCAAGGAGTGTTTAACACGCACACACCAGGTAATTAGTACGATTTATTAATAACCCGAAGTTTAGAAGTTAAAGAATCCGGCGCATGCCCCTGCTTGATAAAGACGTACGCTTCCTTAGGCTCATCTATTTAATGCCGAACTTAAACGACGCCTACGATTTGTAATTCGTTCTCTTTTATTAAACTCTCTTATCGTGGCAAATATAATAACATATTTTTAGTTGTATAACAATACATTTATTTAAACAAAGTTATGACATCCTAAATCACAGTAAAAATAGTATCAAAAATAACCCTTTTTTTAAAGAATTAGTTGAAATAATTAGTCGACCGCTTGGGAAACAAGATCCAAGTTTTGCCACATATTATGTAGCGCCTAAAGATATGAGGGAATTTATTTGAATGCTACCTGACATCAAAAACATAAAACTCGATTTTGGTTATATAATTATTTTTATTTAGAAATGAACGTGAGTTTTAGAAGGGTCTGAGCTAAATTAATCATCACAGCTTCACTTATTCCTGAATTCACATAGTTTGTTAATAGTGATTATTCGAAATAGTTAATTGTAGTACATAGCTAAGAGGATCAAGCCCTCTTGGTCCTCTGGCTTAAATCTGATGGCCAAATAAGGTAGGCAATAACCTTCTTAATCAACCTAAACTTTAAAGCTCTGTCTGAAATATTTCTTACACCAAAAAATATAGGTTATTGAGATGATTAGATCAGAAAGTGGCCTGTTAGATGTAATCATTTGAATATGGGCCACTCAGATACAAATGATCTTGTTTTTACCTGTTTTGTATATTATATTGTTTTATTGTAGCTGATCCTACAGAGGCTCTAAAGATATCTGAAATTTGGAATGGATATGCTATAATTTATTCTTTAAACTCCAAAGATATTCAGGTTTTACTGGTTAAAATATAGTCTACTTCTATTACTCACCATGAGAGAGCATAACTCTTAAAATTAGTCCTCCAAGAGCCTGCATTTTGATGTGCATTAGAGCTGTTGTACATCGTTTACAAGGCAAGTTATAATACGATAAAGAAAAGATCTATTGTGAAAATTTTATATTATATTCAAGAGTAAATTCTATCTCTATTTGGTTTTTGAAAGGCATGGAATCATTAGGGATATTCCCAATTTCCATAGCTCCTTGATTTGTCCTGTAGAAATAAAGAGATTTATTAGTTCATTTATATGATTTGGCAAATTATTCGAGCCATTCGAGCCAGTAAATTGCATGCGACCTATTACAAGGTCGCATGCATTAGGC